TTATTTTATTCACATAGAGTTGACATTCCAATTTTTCATTAATTTTTTATTAATATTTGTTATAATCACATATAATTTTTTAATTCATATTTATAAATTAATTTATGTTAATTGTATATTTAAGCACCATAGAAGTAATTAATGATTGGATTATAGGTGGTATATTAAGAAATTCACACAACCAAAAAAGGTTAATCACAAAAGGTTGATAATATTGGAGCGCGGTACAGTATAAGAATTCATAGTTTCCCTCCTCACCGGCTTACCTCACCGCAGGCTATCCCTGCTCCAGTCTATCCTGAATACTGCGGCCAGACTCATCCACCTTATTAACCACTCCATATCCGCCACCCCCCCACCACCATCCCTCCACTGGCTTCTGATTGCCCACCGCATAAAATTCAAAATGCTAACATTGACGTACAAAGCTGTTCACAACACTGCCCCAAACTACATCACCGACCTCATATCCAAATACCACCCAAAACGTACTCTCCGCTCCTCACAAGACCTCCTACTCTCTAGTTCCCTGGTCTCCTCCTCCCATGCCCATCTCCAGGACTTCTCCAGGGCTTCCCCCATCATCTGGAACTCCCTACCCCAATCCATCAGACTATCACCTACTCTCCTCACCTTTAGGCGCACCCTGAAAACCCATCTCTTCAGGGAAGCCTACCCCGCCCTCAGCTAATTGCCCATCTCCTCCACTCTTCTTAGCACTCCATCCCCCACAGCTATTTCCTCCTGTACCACTATCCCCTCCCTCCTAGATTGTAAGCTCCAAGGAGCAGGGCCCTTGAACCCCTTGTGTATTGAATTGTATTGTTACTGTATTGTCTCCCATTGTAATGTACAGCGCTGAGCAAACTGTTGGCGCTATATAAATACTGTATAATAATAATAATATTGATTTTACAAAGCGGTTTTTAATTGTATTGAATGTGAGTGCATTTGGGCACATAATAAAGTAATTTAACCTCAAAAGGATAAGGCACTATCTTTGCATTTCTCTCCCACTGAGGAACATCTAAGGAGGAAAACAAGAGAGTAGCCGCAGGAGAGAGAGATCCCTGTGGGGATAGGAGTACGGGGAGCCAACTGAGAGATATCCACCACTCTTCATATGATGCAACACAGGTTTCAAAAGTTCCATAAGTGAACAAAAAGCACAGTAAGCCTGTCATAAGCTAATAAAGAGGTGAGCGCATAACTTTATCATACTAAGGAATCACCGTAAGTATTATTTAATTTGACTCACATCACTGGGAGTTGTCACCTTATTTCAAAAGAGACTTTTTTACACTATTCACTATTTATTTTTTAGGAGTCACTATATATTTATTTGATCACATTGTTTTTTGGATTACATTGTTTTTGGATTTGATCATTAGGATGCTTTTGGGACTATTATCAAGATAATGTAGTTTGTTTCCTATGTTTTAGGGATATATTGAGCTGATTTATATTTCACACATTTGACTCTGATTAGGAGTGCAACATTTATTAGTCATTTCTTTGGTACCTATATACACATGATTAGAGGATGTGTTTGATGTCAGAGAACCTATATTAATTACAATTAGTGGCTCAAAAGTAACACTCAATTCTGGGTTATGTAGGTACCCAAATTCAGAGGGCTGACTGGGGGAACCTGGATATCGGATTCCACTATAGTAGGTTAACAGTGGTACCTCTTCAGAAAGGGATTTACCTCAAAGACCTGATTCAGTGGCCAATATTTAGAAAATCCCAAAAGAGAAGGTATAGGGAAAAACAAAAGCAGGGGTTGCTAGAGAGAAATCAGAAATAGAGAAGAAGAGAGGTAGAGCAAGAGTAGCAGGGTCATCGTTCTCTCGGTACTAGGCACTTCAGAATTGCCTCATTGGGAGGCTGGCAGTTCGTTCAGGTAGGCATCAGTGTATACAAAATAGTTCCATTGGGCGCCAAGTGTCCGTACAGGATTCCTCTGTGTTTTCGCACTGTGGCCGTAAGTTCCTCCATATCCCGAAGCAGATTGACTCTGAAACCACAGAGCCCTTCAGAGTAGATCAGTGCCCCTCCAATACAGCGGGATACATGCCTTGGCTGCATTAAGGAGCTGGATCATCAGGAAGGATTTTTACTTTTTGATGGGTCACTCCATCAAGTGCAACAAGCAAGCCGCTGGGTTATCGTTCAAATCCACCGCAGTAAGCTGTTTGATGACTTAGGTCACATCACGCCAAAAAGACCGAATTCCCGGACAGGACCAAAAAAATATGGATCCCCCCTGCACACCACATCATCAGCATGTATCTGGGATCTGCGGAGAGATATGATGGAGTAAGGAGAGCACCCTGTACCATCTGGTGAGAACCTCTAACTAGACTCTTGAACCCTCGTGGCTATAGAGTACTTTTGAGCTAAGTGGAGATTTTTTTTCTTCTGATTGGAGTTGAAACTTAAGTCAAGCTCTGATTTCTAAAGGAAGCGAAGCGTATAATCTTCTACAGGGTGTGTGAGGATAGTGTATAGAAGGGAAAGTGAGCGATGAATTGGTTCTCCCTTGTGGCACAGCAGTTCGAATCCAGTTAAAGGGCGATTAATACCTGGGAGATGAGATAGCCGACTTAGGAAGTGCTGCAGTTGAAGTCCAGAGGGGGGTCAACCAATCGAGTATGGTCTGTTGCAGTCAAACACCCTTCAGATGTTATAAAGTCAGTGAGATGGGAATAGCCTTGGTCAGTGAGATGGTGAAATTGCCCCTCTCAGAGACCAGGTGTAAAGTCCGCGTTACCCACAATGCGAATCATGGGTGAAGGGAGTGGAGAAGCTGGGGTGGCTCGAAACGTTGCCCTGGAGAGCAGAGCACAGCCATCTAAAGCAGTGTGCTTACAGTGAAGCACAGGGACACAGGACGTAGTGAAACAGCACACAGTTAACCCTTTGATCGCCCTTCATGGTAACCCCTTCCTGCCCAGTGCCATTAGTACAGTGTCAGTGTTTTTTGTAGCACTGTATTGGTGTCACTGAGGATGTCAGTGACACCAAGTCAGTTCCCCCCAGTGTCAGAATGCCCGCCGCAGTCCCGCTATGCCGCTCGCCACCATTACTAGTATAAAAAAAAATCCCAGTATCTATACCACCATTTGTAAACGCTATAACTTTCATGTAAACCAATTAATTTACATGTATTTGGATTTTTTTTAGCAAAATGTTGCAGAATACATTTTGGCCTAAATTTATATTTTTTACTGGACATGTTTAATAGCAAAAAGTAAAAAATATTGTTTTTTTCGCAAAATATTAGCTTTTTTTATATAGCGCAAAGAATTAAAAAAAACGCAGAGGTGATCAAATACCACCAAAAGAAAACACAATTTGTGGGAAAAAGAAGGACACAAATTTCATTTGGGTGCAGTGTTGCATGACCGCGCAATTGTCAGTTAAAGTAACACAGCGCCGCAACGCAAAAAAATGGCCTGGTCAGGAAGTGGGGGTAAATCCTCAGGAGGGCAAGTGGTTAAAACCGAGCTCATATTATTTACACAGGTTCTGTGGCTAATTAAGTTGGGAATTAAACTCACTTATGCAGGCCATAGACGGTTCGCTTATCAGCTGAATTTTTAACCAAAAAACAAAACATCGTTCTGTTGCCACCAATAATTACGAAAATCAGGCATTTTTCGTAAATTTTCCAGCATGACCAATAAAAGAAATGAGGAGGAACTGCAAAAAATCGGCTGATGACATTTCCCCACTAAAGGTTTCAAATATTGTCCGATTATTCTTTCAGACGAAAAATTCGGCCGATAAACAAACTGTCTATGGCCTGCATTAGTGCCTTATATGCGTTAACCCCTTCGCGCCGGCACCTCCCGTCCCTTTAAGGGTTTCAGAAGGCGGGAGGAGGGCGGGGTTTTTATGGGTCATGTGGCGCCATCACGGCGGTCACATGATCGGGAAAGGTCCCGATCGAAAGAGATCGGGACCTTTCCTTAAGTACCAAACATATGTGCTGGGAGCATGCAGGGCACACGTTCTCAGCACATATGTTCTTCTTTAATAGAACGCCAGGAGGTCACACATTTGCGTTCGACCAGCGTGAAGAGGTTAAATTAGCCTCAGAATCTGTCATTAACACTTGTTCAGTTTTAAAGGGATGAGCTGGCAACCCTAGATAAGGGTGGATATGATTTAAGTAAAAATAAATACTTTAGAACCAGTTTAAGGTCATCTTTGAGCTCAGAAACAGACAAGAACAAAGATGGAAACACAGTGAAGCCAAGAGAACAAGAACGAGGCTTGGACCGTAGATGCCCTCAGAACGAGGCTTGGACCGTAGATGCCCTCAGAACGAGGCTTGGACAGTAGATGCCCTCAGAACGAGGCTTGGACAGTAGATGCCCTCAGAACGAGGCTTGGACAGTAGATGCCCTCAGAACGAGGCTTGGACAGTAGATGCCCTCAGAACGAGGCTTGGACAGTAGATGCCCTCAGAACGAGGCTTAGACAGTAGATGCCCTCAGAACGAGGCTTGGATAGTAGATGCCCTCAGAACGAGGCTTAGACAGTAGATGCCCTCAGAACGAGGCTTGGACAGTAGATGCCCTCAGAACGAGGCTTGAAACCATATCAAGAATAAAGCTTGGAAGAGAGCGAGAACAGAGCTTGGACCGCAGACACAACCAGAACGAGGCTTGAAACACTGAACTAGCTACAAGAGAAAACGAGGCTTGGAATACTTAAACAAACATAAACAAGGCTTAGAGGACAAACACTACGAGAACGAGGTTTGGATGACAAACACGAGAACGAGGCTTGGACGACAAACACGACGAGAACGAGGCTTGGAACACGGAAGTTGGAAAGCGTGACTACAAGGCCAACAGATACAGAGGAGATGTGATTAAAATTAAATAACTAGATAGAACGTATACATGGGTGGAAAAACATTAGAGCTAAGGAAAAATGGGACGTAGTTATCTTCTCTCCTGGGCTCCGCCCCCGGGTCACATGCTATGCTGACTGATCAGAGGCTGTGGAGGGGGCGGGGCAGGAAGTGGAATAGTAAGTCACATAGAGGAAACTTTATGTTACATTGTAGTGTGTGTGTCGCTGTGTATATCGTGGTGTATGTAGCTGTCCTCTGTACACGGTGCTGTGATTGGTCCTTCCTCTTCTACTATGTGTATATCTGTGTCTCCTCTAGGAGCACACATTGTACAGCTGCATATGACTGTACACACCTGTGTGACCTCCTCCTATGTATTCTACACCTTCCCTGCTATGACCTGTGTCCTGTATGGTGTGTACATTCCTGGCAGGATCGGTGTAGTGATGATGGAGTATTAGCCCTCACAACAGACATGAGGAGTCTTACCATCCAATGCTTCAAGTAGAACTAAAAGGCAAAAACTTGTTTTTCATTTTGTGATATTATTATATTATACAGGATTTATATAGCGCCAACAGTTTGCTCAGCGCTTTACAATATAAGGGAGACAGTACAATTACAATACATTTCAGTACAGAAGGAATAGGAGGGCCCGGCTCGCGGAGCTTACAATCTAAAGGAAGGGGGAGGTGATACAAAAGGTGATAGCTGTGGGGGATGATCTGGCGGAGGTGATTCAAATACAGGTCTTAGGTGGAGGTGGGGTAGGCTTCCCTGAAGAAGTGAGTTTTTAAAGTTTGCCTAAAGGCAGACAGGGGGGGGGCCTGACCGGACATACTGTGGTAGGGAGTTCCAGAGGATGGGAGAGGCTTTGGAGAAGATCTGGAGGTGAGCATGGGAGGAGGTGATGAGGGAGCTAGAGAGGAGGATATCATGGGAGGAGCAGAGTGGGCGATTTGGGCGGTATCTGTGGATGAGGTTGGTGATGTAGCTAGGGGCAGTGTTGTGGATGGCTTTGTAAGCTGTGGTTAGTAGTCTGAATTTTATACGTTGGGTTAGTGGAAGCCAGTGAAGGGATTGGCAGAGAGGGGCAGCAGTCGCTGATCGGTTGGTAAGGTGTATGAGTCTAGCAGCAGCAGCATTCATAATAGACTGAAGGGGGGATAGCCTGTGTAACGGTAGACCAGTGAGGAGGGAGTTGCAGTAATCAAGGAGGGATATAACCAAGGTGTGGATAAGTTGTTTTGTGGTGGTGTTGGTCAGGAAGGGGCGGATTTTGGAAATGTTCCATAGGTTGAGTAAGTTGAGTAAGGGGGGGGGGGGGGTAGACCCCTGTCAGGTTATTTTGGAGAGATTTCCCTTCTTTTCCTGTCCCATAGCCAAACAGGAAGTGAGGGGAAGTCCCTCCAAAGTGAACAGAACTAGTGTCCTCATTGGAAGATTTCCCTTCTATTCCTCTTCTGTTGACAACTCAAAATTTGGGATTTTCTTTTGCTTTCACTCTAAGTGATAATGGTACACAGGACAAACAGAGAGAGTGAGTCTCCAATGGGGGCACAGAGCAATACAAAATCTGACATGTTCTCATCCCTCTAAACTCTATCCAACCGCAACAAGAAAAAAAAAGTGCTAGCTTTTGTTTATACCTAAAATCACTTCATACCCAAACATTATATATTTTCTGATGGCTAAGGCCCTGGAAAAAAAAATGGTGGCAGTTGCATTTTTTTCTGTCACACAATTTTTTGCGCAGACATTTATCATACTTACATGAATTTTAGTGCACACAAATACTAAATAATAGATATCAAACATGTCTAGATTTAAGATTTAAAATTACGCATGCCTGTGAAATGGTGACAAGCTGCAGTACCTAGAAATCTCCTTAACCCCTTTGCGCCGGCGCCTCCTGGTCCTTTAACAGTTTCAGAAGTCGGGTGCGGTTTTAGGGTGATGTTACCGCTGTGATTCACGGTCACATGATCGAAAAAGGTCACGATCACAAAGGGAGATCGGGACCTTTCCGTGAGTCACGAACATATGTGAAGGACGCACACTTTTAGCACATATGTATTTTCTAATGGCACGCAAATATACAACCGCTCAGCGTCAAGGCCCAGACGCTGAGAGGCCGCATATTTGCGTGCACTCGGCGTCTAGGGGTTAAGCTATGCTTTAACCATTTGAATACCGGGCAATTTTACACCTTCCTGTCCAGGCCATTTTTCAGGTTTCAGCGCTCTCTCACACTTTGAATGACAATTGCGCGGTCATACAACATTGTACCCAAACTAAAATTTTATCATTTTCTTCACACAACTAGAGCTTTCTTTTTTGGTGGTATTTAATCACCGCTGGGGTTTTTATTTTTTGCTAAATTACCAAAAAATGACCAAAAATTTTGAAAAAAAACATGTTTTTCTTTGTTTCTGGTATAAAAGTTTACAAATAAATAATTGTTCTTCATAAATTTAGGCCAAGATGTATTCTTCTACATGTTTTTGGTGAAAATAACCCAAATTAGAATGTATTTTGTAGTTTGTAGGAAAGTTATAGAGTTCACAAACTATGGTATAGATCTGAAAATTGATCAATCCTGAAGTACTGACAGCCAATCTAAATTCTTGAGGTCCAAGAATGTCAGAACAGTACAGATATCCCCCAAATGACCCCTTTTTGCAGAGTAGACAATCCGACGTACTTCATAAGAGGAATGGCCAGTTTTTTTTAAGTTGTATTTTTTTTGTCATAATTTTTCGGAAAATGAAAAAATTAAAAAAATTATTTTCACTATTTTATTTTTTACATACTGTCACCAGTGCAGTACAGCATCATCATATAACTGGCATGGCGGTGAACAGGGACACTGACTGTTGACAGTATGAAAAAAAAAATATATATATATTTTTTTTATTATTATTTTTAATTTTTTATTAATTTTTTTTTTTTTTAAGATTTTTTTTTTCATATTTTACTATGACCAAAGTAGTACAATGTTACCATAGTAACATTGTACTACTTTGGGGAAGTGATCAGTATTTTTTTTTTTTTTTTACAGAATTTGCTTATAGCAAAGAATTACGTTGCTATAAGCAAGCATTTACCTGAATGACATCGATTCATTCAGGTTTTTTTTTTTTTTTTTTTGTGCTTAGCTGTGATTTGGCCACAGCTAACCACATGACATGTGCATGTGACCTGCTGTAACCATTCACAGCTAGACACTAGTATACAATGGATGGCATGAATGAAGCCATCCATTGTATACAACTGTCATGTGACCTGCTGTGATTGGTCACAGCAGGTCACATGGTACCGGCAACAGGGGCCGGTACTCAGATCTGTCATCGGCCGTGTCCGAGGTACACGGCCGGTGATAGATCGTGCCGCTGCGCGGCTCTGCTGCGCAAACTGCGCCTGTGCGGGAGGACGCCAAATGGCGTACACCCCGGAAAGTGTGATCACCTTCTGGTAGAATCCACACTCACCACAATTGATGGACTCTTAGTTTATATGGCTTAAGAGTCAAATAAACATTTAAGGTGAAGTGTGTTTCTCCAGAATAAATCCAAATCAGAGGGAAAATGCTTGCTTTACAATCTCCAGATGACCACCAATGGGACAGATGAAATGCAAAGAAACAATAGGGACACTAATAGTGTAATACTGCAAGACTCTTTAATATAATTAAAACCAAGGGGTATAATGCACTCACATTGGACAAGATAAAAAGAAGCCTTATAGGTATGAACTTTTCCTCATCAGAACTATTGGCACTTTATAAATACTGTATAATAATAATAATAATAATCAGAAAGTGTTTGGACCAACTCAATAAATGGCTCCCACATGAAAGCAAAATAAACTGGCAGCAGTGCGGTATCCACCATAAACCTTTTCTCAAATACCTTTATCCCAATACCCTAATAGTCCTCACTCCAAATATCGTCCAAAAATATGTCCAAAATACATCGTCCAAATATTGCATGAAATATCCAATTCAATTCGCCACTCCAGATCCAAAGTACCTCAAAAAATATAAAAACTAGATATAGTGCATTACCCTTACATTTTCAAATATTTAATCAGTGACGTGATTACATGCAAAACCAATATTCCAGTGAAAAAAATAAATTCTATATATGAATTAATATATTCACACAACACTCTGTGAAATTCAACACAACAAAAAGTGATTATGAGCACATCACAAATAAATCAATGAAAAAAAAATATATATGAAAAAATTATAGTGAACACTCCGTGACTCCCCACACTTGTGAGGTCATATATTATATTCTCCTTGAAATCATAGCAAACTTAACAACCTGTGAAAGTGATATTATTCAGTGGTGCCACACAATAGTGGGATTCAAGGCAATTACCCTCTTGCAGCATAAACCAGCATAGACCAGCACTTCAGGGTTTGTAGTGTCAGCTTCCACCCTGCGGGTATGCCTATTACAGTCTCCCCAATTCCTCGTGCGGGTAGAGAAGAGAACCATCAGTGGAGTGTAAAGGGTAATTAACAAACTTTTATTAAAATCTTACATTGGAAATTAGAAAATCCATCCATCCATCCCAGCAGTTCTTTCAGCTAAACATCCAATAACAAAAATGGCCGCGCCGCTCCTTCCGGATTTGTATCTGACATCACGTCCCTGACGTGTTTCGTCACTTCTGACTTCTTCTCAAGGGATCCTGACGTCTAGGAAGCGGCTCCTCTTATCCTGCTCTGTATTACTGGCAGGAGGCACGAGCCACCATCTTACATTGGGGCAGCCACCGCCAATTTTGGCAAACAAACCTTATTTCAGAGTTCATCCTGATGGCATGATCAATTAAATGATCAATTAAACTAAATTTACAATATCACTATATTATCCATAAAACAACCCTTAAATACAAACAATTACAATACACATACTAACACTCAACTTCATATAAATATTCCAGTGTCTCACAATATAAAATATACATTATGTATATGCCCTGAGTCTAAATACTACCTTATTAATCCTACCAAACCCTTATTTCTAAAATGTTCCTAGTTAAAACCATCTATACTTTAAATAAAATCAACTAGACTTTTATTAATGTAATTATACATATATATTTCATATACATTATTTTATTATTATACGTCAGTGCCCTCTACTGGTCTCACTGAAATACAGTAACTTAATTTTCAACTAAAATCGAAATAGAGTCAAATTAAAACCACCTTTACATACCATAATACTAAAATATAGTTAAATAATTCCTACACATCTACACTCTTACATAAATCTTCTTTTATATTTTTATATTTAACCTAAATTCATATGATTAATCAATATTTCATTTTTATTATTTCACAATATTATCAACTATTTTCACGTTTTATTAATTTTACATAACATTTTATTAAAATAAATCCTTCAATACTTTCCAAAAACTGAATATTATAGATTCTTATTTTAATACTAGCCTATTACAAATCAGAAATGAAACAATTCAGGTCCAATTCAATGTTTAGGCCTCTAGGCTTCAAAGTATGCAGCTGATAAATCCAGAATGTATTATTGCGCGATAACATCTGTACTCTGTTCCCTCCCCTCCAATGGGCCTCTACAGTGTCAATCCCACAAAATCTCAATTTACTTGGATCTGAATTATGAAATTCTTTGAAATGTCTTATATATTTTATGAAGTACTTTGGATCTGGAGTGGCGAATTGAATTGGATATTTCATGCAATATTTGGACGATGTATTTTGGACATATTTTTGGGACAATATTTGGAGTGAGGACTATAAGGGTATTGGGATAAAGGTATTTGAGAAAAGGTTTATGGTGTTTTGTACTTTCAAGGGTGAATATGGGTGTAACATGTTACGAAAGGTGAACTTATCATTTACCAGTTGTGTATTGCACCAGAGGCTTCCTGAGGGGATGAAGAGAAGGGAACCACTGCTGCTATTCACCAACTTGTATTACAAACTTTCATGGCTGAAGTCAGGACAACCTGGCATCCTTGCACACAGCTTTGTAAGGGCTCAGTATGCGTTACCATTACAGTTCCAAGCCCTGTAAAAATGATCAGGCGGCTGTAGAGCTTCTGGGATCACTTTTACATAAAAAGCTGATCGCTAGCGCTACAAAACAATACCAGGATCGTGGCTTCAGCTGCAGCCATGGTCCAGGTATAAATGCTTGTTCCCTGGGTCATATATACACTGCTCAAAAAAATTAAAGGAACACTTTTTAATCAGAGTATAGCATCAAGTCAATGAAACTCCTGGGATATTGATCTGGTCAGTTAAGTAGCAGTGGGGGTTCTTAATCAGTTTTAGCTGCTTTGGTGTTAATGACATTAACAACAGGTGCACTACATGGGCAACAATGAGATGATCCCCAAAACAGGAATGGTTTTACAGGTGGAGGGCACTGATATTTTTTTCCCTACTCATCTTTTTCTCTAGTTTTGCATTTGACTAGGTCAATGTCACTACTGGTAACATGAGACAATACCTGGACCCTACAGAGGTTGCACAGGCAGTCCAACTCCTCCAGGATGGCATATCAATACGTGCTATGCCCAGGTTTGCTGTGTCTCCCAGCACAGTCTCACGAGCATGGAGGAGATTCCAGAAGACAGGCAGTTACTCTAGGAGAGCTGGACAGGGCCATAGAAGGTCCTTAAGCCATCAGCAGGACCGGTATTTGCTCCTTTGTGGAAGGAGGAACAGGATGAGCATTGCCAGAGCCCTACAAAATGACCTCCAGCAGGCCACTGGTGTAAATGTCTCTGACCAAACAATCATAAATGGATGTCATGAGGGTGGCCTGACCACCCAACATCCTCTAGTGGGCCCTGTACTTACTGCCTCGCACCATAGAGCTCAATTGGAATTTGCCATTGAACACCAGAATTGGCACGTCCGCCACTGGCGCCCTGCGCTTTTCACAGATGAGAGCAGGTTCACACTGAGCATATGTGACTGACATGAAAGGGTCTAGAGCAGCCGTGAAGAATCTTATGCTGCCTATAACATCGTTCAGCATTTTGGTGGTGGGTCAGTGATGGTCTGGGGAGGCATATCCATGGAGAGACGCACAGACCTCTACAGGCTAGACAATGGCACCCTGACTGCCTAGGTGTTGGGATGAAATCCTTGGACCCATTGTCAGACCCTACGCTGGTGCAGTGGGTCCTGGGTTCCTCCCGCTGCACATCAATTCTTGGCCTCATGTAGCGAGAGTATGCAGGCAATTCCTGAAGGATGAAGGAAATGATACCATTGAATGGCCCCCACACTCGCCTAACCTAAATCCAATAGAACACCTCTGGGATATTATGTTTCGGTCCATCCGATGCCGCCAGCTTGCACCTCAGTCTGTCCAGGAGCTCAGTGATGCCCTGGTCCAGATGTGGGAGGAAATACCCCAGGACACCATCCGTCGTATCATTAGGAGCATGCCCCGATGTTGTCAGGCATGCATACAAGCACATGGGGGCCATACAAACTACTGAGTACCATTTTGAGCTGCTGCAATGAAATTTCACCATAATGCTGCATCATTTTTTCACTTTGATTTTTGGGGTGTCTTTGAATTCAGTCCTCTGTAGGTTGATAATTTTTCTCTTCCATCAAACGATGGGGCATCCTTACATTCCTAACACATTACCCAGTCCATATCAGTATAGATATCCAGCATGAGGTTTTTCCTCCTTGAGATCTAATGTATTTTCAGAGTGTTCTTTTAATTTTTTGAGCAGTGTATATATACAGTAATAGGGATGGTTTAGCGAACTGTTGGCGCTATATAAATCCTGTATTATAATAATAATAATAATATATACAGCCCAGGGCTGCAAAGCAGTTACAGCAGCAAAATAGCACTGTTTTTAGACTCAGAATTCTTGGCAGTTGGCAGAACATTAATCCGATAAAATTATCTCCTTTTCCAGCATTATGTAATGCGGCTATACAGGGTCCCTTTGCAAGGAACAGACATACTGTGAATAGTGATGGCAGATATTGGTGGCATTGTGTGAAGATCTGTACAAACTTTTAACTGTGAAAATGTTTCTCATTCTGCTGAGCTGGTCTTGTGATTTACACATTTGTCACATTGCAAGGATAAGAAGCAGACCCCATTGTTCAGAGTCTGTAGCTACTTATGCCTTCCTTACAGTCACTCATTGATGTGTGAATGAGCATAATCATGCTGCACAGGTCCTATGTGTTCCCTGCCCCCTCTCTAGACTATTTAAACACCTTTGCCACAGCCCCCAGTGCCTGAAATATGGTTTAAATACCTCTCCTTCAGCCCCCACTGCTTGAAATATGGTTTAAAACACCCCTCAGTCAGCCCCAGTGCCTGATATATGGATTAAATACCTATCCTTCAGATCAATATAATCAAACCTGAATCTCTTGGACGGTCTTTAGGGAATCACAGGAACTACGGGATCTCATCGCAGTGTGAGGCCCTGGCATGTTTGGCCTCTTTATTTGGCTGCGCTCCTTGGGGGTCATCTCCTGCTTGTCCTCCCCTCCCCTTTCCCTCCTATCCCCCCTCTTCTTACATTCTCTATCTCTAACCTGATCCTCCTACGACTTCTTTTGTCCCACTACCTTTATGTTCTTTTCTCTCTTTTTTGCTCCATGTCTATGAGTGGCTAAGGACTTATAATATGTGGTCATGGAGTTTATTCCAGTCCTTCCTTTGTATTTTGATTATGTAGATTTATGTAGCGATTTCAGCTGTCGCCCATCTTTACACAGGAGAGGTTTCTGTAGAGACTGTGTATATATTATGTATATACTGCTTTGTTGTATATCTGATCATGGATGCTACTACACATGTGCCTTTTCCTGCCATTGATAACCTTATGGTACTATAATATGTAATGTAGATGACCGGACTGGTTTTCTACTTATTATATACCTTTAGATATTTTTGTGATGAAAATGTTTCTTAATAAAATCAGATTTAACATAAATACTTCTCCTTCAGCCCCCGGTACCTGAAATATGGTCTAATCAGCGATCCTCCAGGCCGCAGTACCTGAAACAGTCATTTAGCAGCACTGAGCAATGCAATGGCTGACAAGTCCAATATTTGTAGTGTTCAGGGGACTGCTGGAAGATGATATAAAAATACATAATAATAAAAATGTAGTGATTTGTGAATGACAGGAGCTCCCCTTTAAGCAGATGTTTCTGCCTGTTGTCCTCTGTGCTCAGCAGTAATGCCTGACTTTTTCTTCTAGCGATGCCTGGCCAGTCACTGTTGCGGGTCCTGTATGCCAGCCTGGCAGTGAGGTGCGCTGGGACTTTCCGTTCCTCTCTGGCACTGGCCAGTGATCAGAAATGTCAGCAGCATCAGCCACAGGTGAGACCATTCATAATAAATATCCACACTCTGAACTTGCCAAGCCAGCGATATGACAAAATGTCCATCTACTTTATCGATATCTCATTTATTTATTTATCACAGGTGCTTATATAGCGCCGTCAATGTGCGCTTTACATATATATTGTACATTCACATCAGTCCCTAACCCTCAAGGGTGTGTACAATCTAAGGTCTTTAACTCACCTTCATACATACACATACTAGGGCCAATTTAGACAGGAGCTGATTCACCTACCAGCATGTCTTTGGAGTGTGGAAGGAAACCGGAGTACCTTGAGGAAACCCACACAGGCAGAACATACAAACTCCAGGCAGGTGGTGCTGTGGTTGGGATTCGAACCAATGACCCAAGTACTGCCAGCCGGAAGTTCTAACCATTTAGCCACTGTGCTGCCCACACTCATCTGCGTTATGTAACACTGTTATCCTTTAAAACTACATTCCCATAATCCTCTACACACCAGCTAAAATATCAGTCCAGCACTGGCTGCTAAAACAAGAGACAGGGTGGAGAGGGCTGAAGGACTGATACAAATGTCATCTTCAGGCTGAGACGCCATATCACCTCCTGCACCCCCCACACCCCACAGTGACTGAGACACCTGCACTGCATTGAGGAGCATGGCTAAATCGTGACTTGCCCCTGGTTCATATCTGTGCGGGTGGTGCCACTGCGGATCCACACAAAAATCCGTGAAGCCGCACAGAGGAATGCGGACCCGTGGGCAGGTGCCATTAATTCTAATGGCACGCCGCCCGCACTGGAAATCGCAATTGTACTGGAAACCGAAGTTCCCGTGCGGGCTGCCTTTCCGAAGAAGTGCAGGGACTTCTTCCCTGCATGTCTCGGGGCACTGGAGTCCATTCAAATGAATGGGCTCTCGTGCCCACGCAAAAATGCGGCCCGCAGGAACACAGAGATGTGCACCTAGCCTTAGAACAAAGCCAATTTTTGCATAATATATTTAAAACAAAATGTTTATTGATGGTAGTTGCACATATAACAGCCATAGGCTGACCATACATTATACAATCTGATTGTACAAACTGCTTTAGATCTACCATCAACTATATAGTGCAAAGTACACACAAACATGAAAACATGCAGGTGGGTAGGCATGGAAATGCTGGAAACCCAGGGACCATCAGCACAGCAGCAGTAGACCCCATCCCAGGTCTTGGACACTGCTACTGCTGTAGGCACTCCTCCAGAGACCTGGTCTTTAGAGGAGTGCCTACAGTGGTAGCAGTGTCCAGGTCCTGTTATTCACCATGCCGGTGACCAAGACTGGGGTCTACTGATGACCTGCTAATGATCCCTGGGATCTGGGCTTCCATCATTTCCATGCTTACCCACCTGCATATTTCGATGTTTGTGAGTGCAATTTTACCTTTCAATAAATTCACGTTTTATTACATATCACTCTATGAAGTTTGTTCTTACTTATTTGAATTTCTACGGAACACCCTCTCCTGGTTTGGCAGCACCACCTCCATGGTCAGATCAATGGATATTTAAAGTATAGGTTCACCTTTAGTAACATGTTACTCCCATATTCAGGGCAAAACATGTTACTAAAGCACCTGTTGGCACCCTAACCTGATTCCCCGTTGTGATGGCGGGCGGGGGATCTTCTCCCTGCACCCCTGTCACATTTCAAATACAGAGTGTCCGTTCGGGGCTCTGTCCACACAGCCATGTCATTCATTCACAGAGTTCTGTGAATGAATGATCTACAACTAGTGCAAAGGCCTGCCTGATTTGACATGAAATAAAAGTATCTGTTAGGTTTTTTCTCATATTACATAGTTTTAGTACCTTTCAAAGAGATTGCACAAGCTCTGTACAATCAGATTGTATTGTGTATGCCCAGCTTTAAATACTCAATTTAGCTATATATGTTTTTTTTAATATTATGTATCTATAGTAGGGAGCTGCAAAATTAAGGTATTATTATTAGAAAATATTTCTATAGTGCACATGCTATGGGTTTGAGAGCCCACAGAGGAGGAATCTGTCTCCGATGGTCAATTTGTAGTTTTATCTGTACTGACAAGTTCACTTTAAAGTGTCCCTGTCTTCCCTAAAGAGTCAGTAGGGTTACCCTGAGACCCAAAAACACAGCTTTAATGACTTCTACAGTAAGAGAGGACAGGTTCACTTTAAGCTTTGGCAACCAATTAACTGCCTATAGCTGACTTCAGGCATGGCATTTTTTTTCATTCTTCCAGTAAGCTGAATGCAAAAAACAAAACAAAAAAAAACAGATTCCTCCATCCATACAGGTAGATGAAGGAATGCTCCCTGCCATTGTATTCTGACAGTGGGACCCATCACTGTCAGAATATACTGATCAGCGGCTGCAGCTGTCAATTGAGAAAAGTTTCCAACATCCTTCTTTGATAGATATGGATCAAATGATTGGCTTCTTTTGAGCAGGGATGGCCACACACAGATGAAAATTCCCTGGTGAACCAGCAAAATGTCCATCAGTCTATAGTCACCTGTAGTGAGATTCAGAAAACAGAGTCTTGACTCCCAGTGTCGGCAGGCTCAGAAGACACTGACAGAGGGGAAGGTTGACCACACAACTGCCAGTAAGGAGTACTTTCTCCTTCCTCTGTCGTAGACATTGTACAGACACTAACAGACAATTTAGGTAACACTTGAGCTCACTTTGTCTGATGTCTCCTGTTTTTGCGTTTTCTCTGGTTAGCGACCATATTGTGCCAGTGATGGAATTGGCAGTGATGAGGTGCAGAGAGCACAGAAAGCTCAGAGAAATTCAGCCACTATATTTTCCCGGATCATTGACCGCTCCATCCCAGCAGATATCATCTATGAGGATGATCAGGTAACAAAGCACAGACCATCATGGGGGGCCTTAGTAGTACTGCTCCACCCACTAACAACCTGCTTTTTTTTCTTGCAGTGTTTGGCATTCCGGGATGTGTCCCCCCGCAGGGTCCTGTGCATTTCCTCGTCATCCCCAGGAAACCGATCGCCAGAATAAGTGAAGTGACAGTTGGTGACACACAGGTAATGCAGAGCCACTGTAGGGGGGGTCAGCACAACCATACCACAGTCAGATCTGATGTCAGAAATGACAGCTGGTATACCACACTGCTTTGGGGCATGCCACAGATAATTGCTGATTTATCAAAACTACCATCGAACTGTCACCTTGTTTCCCCTTCCCAGGGTATAAAAGGTGAATCCTAATTGGTTGACGTGGTGAATGGTCTAGTTCTGCCCCTGGTTACATTCTCCAGCCATGCTGTGTAGCAGTGATCACAGAGATATGAGCCAGAAAGGAGGCAATTACTGTTCTGTTTTTTCTCTATAGCTCCTGGGTCACCTGCTAGTAACCGCCAGTCACCTAGCACAGAAGGAGGGGCTGACTGAGGGCTACAGGATTGGTGAGTGCTGACTATGGCATGGCAGGAGCAAGTTGGAAAGGGATGTGCATACAGATCCCTGTTTATGTAAAGCTATGGGGTGGACAAAATAATGGAAACTTAACAATATATTGCTAGGAAGGGCCTAGTAAGAAATAGCACTATCCTCTCACAGGTCACCATGTAATTTATGCAGAGATGTAGTCACAGGAGTGCCAGCTTCTGTAGAGGAGTTTATTTACTGGAGCTGGTTCACTCAGAACCTCGTGCACCTCTGCATGGAAACAATCAGCTGACAGGTTTTATTGCTAAAGCCTAGTGTTACTAAATCACAACTGTAAAATCAGTCTGTATATGCAGTAAAGCATGCTTGTTATACTCACTGTGGAACCTAAGGGGTTAATCCTCTGCATTGTGTAAAAATACTGTTTGATCCTGACATCTCTGATCCTCCCCTTCTTCCAGTGTCCTCTTATCTCCTGATAAGATATATCGTGTAGAGTCACTCTGCACATGCTCAGTTTGGTGTTTGTTAGAGGTTCCCCCCCCCCCCCCTTGGGAGAGTGCATGTGATCAGTACAGGGCCAATCAGTATTGTCCAGTCAGGGGTTCTGCATCCTCCTAGAGCAAAATGAAAACTCCTCCTACAAGCTTGAACCGGTGCTCTGCTGGACACTGCCAGAAGTCACAAGACTGTGCTAACTGCTGATGAGAAAAGGTATTTAGCAGTTTATATTTACTAAAATAATTGAATTTCCACGTTCTGTGTACTGTGGGAGACCAGATAGAGTGGACGCAGGCTCCTGGGTTTAGTAACACTTTAACCTAACCAGCTGAGGTTAGAAGCTGATTGGCTACCATGCACAGGTCGCATGAGATTCTGAGTGAACCAGCTTTAGTAAATCTCCCTGAGCCTGGCATCTGCACAAAAAAGGTGCAGGACCCTTTTTTTGGTCCGCACTAGAATCAGATCGCATGGGTATTCACACCCATGCGATCAAATTCTGCACATCGCACCGTGTTTTGTGAACCGATTTTGAGATATCAATAACTTAACACACACCAGTGGTTCACATGAATGGGGTTACGATTGTGATGCGGTGTGAAATTCGCACAGAAACCGCTGCAAATTCCACACCGCATCAGTGTGAACCCAGGCTCAGGGTTCTTTTGTGGCGTTTGCCTTAAGCTTGTTTCTTAAAGTTGGATGGAGTGAGGAAGTTAGGGGTTAGATCCTCTGAGTTCTGTGTCCTCTGGCTAGGAGGGCAATTCTTTCAAAAGAGACAGAGACAGTAATAAAATGTCTGTCTGTTTAGCAAAGCTGGTGATCTTCACCTCTCAGCTCATGTTTGGTAAGTACCATCATTATATATCACAATCTTCCCCTAGGCCCAGGGAAATAAAAACTGACCCAGTAACACACCATGGTCCTGTAATGCCATATTTATGTGAGTGTGCACCTCCGGGTTTACCTGCTGGAAGCCTCTGATAGGAAGAAACAGCAAACATCCAGGTAACGTGCCTCATTTGCCCATTCTTCCCAAGCATGGATGAAACAGCTTCAAAAGTAAACTTTTCATCAGTAAAGTAGCAGCCAATAAAACCAGTGTGAAACTGTTAATGGAAAGGCACTCATGGCTGGGCAATTCATAGAACTCCATCCTGATATCCAGCACAGGAACCAGACAATAACCTCTAACACAAGACAAAACAAAATGATCAAATCTAGTTGGAGCTGTGGGAGGAGATGAACTGTCCTCAGTATATTAATTGCTACACAAATATGAGTTCAGGCACTTGGTGTCCAGCTGTTCTTTGGCTGCACTGTAGATTCACATTTCAAAATGGCAACAAATATCTTTATTTTAAATATAAAAAGGATGAGAGACTATAGGTGGGATCAGGGTGCTGGCTATGTGGGTAGAGTGCAGGGGAACTTGTTTGTGTTACTCATTTTCAGGTATTTTGGCCACACCCCTAATCCCTTTCCCCATATATGGCACTATCGTAGCTGGTAGTAGTAGACCTTCCACCCATGTTGTCCCAAGTCTCTTTCCTGTCATAGCTCCTATCCAACCCCACCCCTTATGGACTTGTTTGTTTCTCTTGCAGTTATCAATGATGGGAAGCAGGGGTCGCAGTCTGTCTATCACCTTCATGTGCATGTAATTGGCGGACGGCAGATGGGCTGGCCTCCTGGATAACCTCTCTCCAGATCTGGAGGAAGCAGAAGACAAAAGAACGGTGGCTAATTTCTATTCAGATTGAATACAGTGTATGCAACTAATAAACTATATGCAGAAATTATTGTCTGCCTGTCGGTACTCTGCCAGGTGATGGGGACAGGGACATGTAGCCACTGACTCTAGTTAGAACAGATCTCATCTGATGGAGATTGTAGCACCGCATCGCATTTTAAAGATTAGTGTTTTTTTTTATTTTTCAGTACAGAAGAAGCTGTACCCAACCAAGAACACATTAATGAACACTGCAAAATGTGCAACAAACAAAAATATGAGCAAAGTATTTCCCAAAACTTTACCTGTACTGTCCGTCATTGAGTCAAGATGGTGAAAACTACCCCCAAATCTCACACTCAATTTGTCCTGACAGATCCCTTAGAAAGTGCATATAGAGGCTTGTCTTTAAAGTTTTGGATAGAGTAGAGAAGGGTTAGAAAAAATGCAAAGTTTTTTTTTTTTTTCTATAGGATAAGTTCACCTTTTAAACACAAAATAAATGCTATTTTTTTTACAGGTGAAAAAAAAAAAAAAAATGAAAATGTGCATTTATTACTTTTTGTTTCTGGAGCCTGGAAAGCAATGCACCAGCGTTCAGCAGAGTGCTGGTGCCATGCAGGTCTCCTGCAGACCACCCGTTCAATGAGTAAAGAACGGTGCATAATCTCTTTCATTATTGGATTCAAGCCCGGAATCCAAGAGGCAGCCGCCAGCATCGGGACTATGGACAAAACAGGCTCCACTTCCATCCCAGTATACGTGCAGATTGATGAACGCCCAGCACGAGCATGTGTTTCAGTGTCCCCTGCAGGACTAGGTGTATAGCGCCAATGCGTCTGACTGGTAGTGACGTCAACGCTTTTCACTGATGGGCGTAGCTTACTCAGCTTCGTCAGGACCAATAGAATGCATAGCTCTAGACTCCATTTATATCAGGCAGATCTCCACCCATATATGCAAATAAACATCAGGCAAAGCATCTCATTGGAAAAAAAGATTAAAAAAAAAAACCTGTCATTATAGAAAAACTTATGAATACCTGGCAATGGGAAACATAATAATTCTATACCTCAGCAATACCCATAGAGAAAACCGATTTAGAATTACCTTGTTCACAGAGGGGAAAGTACCATATAGTCCAATATAGTTTTATACTTCCCTATTGATGCAAAAACACTTGGAGAGCGAGTTCAACATTTAACCCTTTAGGATATAGAGTATCAAGCTTGTATATCCAATATTTTTCACGTTTTAAAAGCACTTTATCAAAAACACCCCTTCTCTGCGGGAAATTAAGGGCATAGATTCCTTTAACCTTCATACCCTCTAATTTACCTCCATGATACCTTGAGTAGTGTTGAGCTAAATTACTTTCTGGTTCATTGGATTTGATGTCCGTAAGATGTGCTCCTATATGTACTTTAAGTTGCCTTTTAGTTTTACGAATGTACATTTTTTTTTTTACATGGACAGGTTAACATATATAGTACTCTAGATGCAGAACAGTTTATAAGGCTTTGAATTTTGTATTGGGCCTTATTGTCAGAATCAGAAAATCTATCTGTCCGGTCCACAAATTTACAAATTTGATATCTTCCACAGCAAAACATCCCTTTGGTATGTGAGGTAAGCCAAATGGATTGTTTTAGAGGCTGGTAGTCTGAATGAATAAGTAAATCACCAAGGTTTGGTGCTCTCCTTGCTACCATTTGCAGACGATCTCCTACAATTCTACCCAAATTGGGACACTGTGTAAGAATCTTCCAATGTTTTTCCAAAACCTGTTTAACTTCCTTCCATTGTGCTCCTTATTGGGTTATCATCCTACCTGGTTGGGGAATCTGTTTATCCAAGTTACCTTCCTCTTTAGGGGACAGTAACATTTTCCTATCAACATTATATGCTCGTTTTCTTGCCTTCCTAATCTGAGAATAACCACGCTCACTAAATCTCTTAGAGGTCTTGTACTTCTAGTTTGAAATCATTAATATTTGAGCAGTTTCTCTGACTCCGCAGAAACTGTCCAATGGGTAGCCCCATAATCAATGAACGTGGATGATGGCTTCTTGCCTCAAGTAATGTATTGGCTGCAGTCTGTTTTCTAAAAGTTTTAGTATCTAATCTACCGTTCTCAAGTCTGATATCAAGGTCCAGGAAGGAGATTTGCCATCTATCATGGACAGACGCAAGTTTAATATTCAGTACATTGTCATTCAACTCTTCCATGAATAGGTTCAACTCCTCCAAGGACCCTCTCCAGACCAGGAACACGTCATCAATGTATCTCAGCCATATCTGTACATGAGTGAGAAACATACGTGACCTATATACAAATTGTTCTTCCCAGTATCCAAGATGTAAACATGCATACGCTGGGGCCCAAGGTGCTCCCATGCTTGTGCCTCTTATCTGTTGATAAAAGCCATTATTAAACTGGAAGAAATTATGATGCAAGGCAAAATCTAATAGATCAATAAAAAAACTCATTCTGTCCACCCATCTCTGGATAGAAAATATCTAGAACGTATCAAGCTGATCTCAAACCACATTCATGTGGGATAGACGTATAATGTGAATCAACGTCCACTCCAACCAGAATGGAATTTTCTACAATTTTTAGATCCTGTATCTTAGCTAGTACATCTTTGGTATCTCTTACATAGAATAAATTAGGAACCATATCTTTAAGAAAGAGATCAATATATTTACCTGTTCTCTCAAGATGGCCCTGGATCGCAGAAACTATTGGTCTCCCTGGATCTTTATGAATTTTAGGGATTATATAGAAAGTTGGAAAATTGAATTCCTCAATACTGAGGTATTCATTTTCTTTTTTAGTTAAAAGGCTAGCCACTTTTCCCAAAGATAATGTAAAATAGGTTGATATTTAGTTTGCGGTATGTACTATGATCACTTAGATAACGTTTAACCTCCTTCACATAATTCTGTCCTTTCAGGATTACAACAGTTCCACCCTTGTCACTTTTCTTAATATCCTTAGCTTCCTTTAGTTCCTTGAGTGCTTTTCTTTCTTGGTAAGATCATCACCCAAAGGCATTTTCCACCCAACACATTTTAAGTCTGCGGATACAAGGTCGGGGAAATGCTGCAATCCTTTTATTACTACGTATTTTTGGCATTTTTGTAGATCCAATTATTTCTAATTGCATCTAAATGACTAATCTCTTCAAGTTCTTCCTCATCACTAAGTCCTCCCTCTTCTGCCAGGGACATTAGCATTTCCAAAGCCTTACTGTCCTCCATGGGTGTATCTGAATCAGGCTCACAGACCATCCCCGGTCTTTCATGTATCAATCTTAGGTATACTTTCCTCAAAAATAAATTAACATCTTTAAAGACTTCAAATGAAGGACATTCCTTCATTAAGCAACATAATGTGTTCCTGTTTAAGTGGAAACTACGTAAGGTTGATAACTTATAGGGATTACTCCCTGCTATATTCTGACTCCTTGTCCTGCCCTTGTTTTCCTGTTGCCTCCCTTTTATATGTTCCTCTTTTCTTTTCTGAATTCCTTTGCCTATCTGGGATTGATCTCCCAAAGGTAAATCCCCATTCCATTGGTCTAAAAAAGATGCCGATTTGCCTAGGATCTCCGAATCACTTTCACTAGATAAAAGTTATCCAGTAGATCTAGAATAAGAACGGAAAAAAAATCATTTTTTTGAGCGACTTCTCCCTCTTTTTATGGTGAGATCAAATATCTCACCAGTTTCCCAATCTTTCAGATCCCGTTTAAATTTAGTTTATTTTGTTATTCTAAGATTCTTTTGTACTGTCTCAACCTCTTTCCTAGGTTGTTCATTTTGTTTCTCAAAGCTTTCAGTAGTTTAAATGGATCTAACCCATTTACACTTTCCTTAATAGCGAAGTCAAGTTCCTCCAATTGTAACTTTTCCTCTTCAACAATAAGCTTCATGCCACTAATCCCTTGTTCAATGCACAGGGCCTTCCACTTGCTCAGGAATCTATCATTATGTAAATGCTCAGCAGGTACAACTTTGCTTCTCAAACCATGAGGAATAATATTTTGTTTGATGTAAGCTTCGAAGAATCAGACATCCCATTTCCGATTCAAATGTCTAATAACTAATTTTTTTTATGTTCTTTAAATCTGGTTTTAATTTCTTTCATCCTCAGTTGTTATTTTTTTTGAGCTCTCAGCAAGGAAGGCTCTGTGCATTTCCTGTTCAATCGCCTCACCGGGTATAAACGCCATAGGTAATCTCCACTGTTATCCTTTAACTTGCTGTGTATGTTGTCATTAAGAAGATTCCCCTTTTCTATAAGTCCAGGTTAACCATAATCACTGAGACAAAGTGGTGACAAATCAAACTTTTTGGATTTCCCTTCAGAGATGTGGAAAAAAATCTTCCAATATGGACACCTGTCCGGGGACAACGAAGATGGCAATTCTGATAAGTTTGATGAAATTTCTTGTTATTTTCTGTTGTGGCTCTAAACAGGCAGGAAAGCAAAATCTCCGCAGCAAAACACAGAAAAAAAAACAAAAAAAACTTGATAGGGGTTTTTATTTTTTTATCTAACTTGTCCCTACTATATCTAGAATTAAAAAAAAAACAAAAAAAAAAATTAGGCTATACAAACAGTTTAGAGGAAGCGCACGCTAATAAGGATGCTGCCATTAGACATAAAATACTAGTTGCCTGGTTGTTATGCTGATCCTCTAACTTTAGTACTTTGAGGCACTAAACTGAAATAAGGGTGCCACTAAGGCGCTCTGACCTCACATTTTCTGATCTGCATGCTTGTTCTGGGTCAGTCAGGCAGCTAAGAAAACAAGGTTTTGCCCCGTTGTCTTTCCTTCAAGTTATACCCAATGCTTTGAACAGTACCATTTGGAATTGGGCTTTACGGCATAGATAAAAGCTATATCATCTCATCTAATGAGGAAATACTGAAATCTCTAATTACAACTATCTTC